CAGAATAAGTTTCAGTGGCATCTTTGCTGACTCCAGCTAATATAACTCCCTATTTACATATCTTCACACCTTCAGTTCTCAAGTATATAGGCAGAATTCTGAAGATGTTGCCTAAAGCTGTCTGAAGGAACATATTACACCAAGTGATTTGCAAGAGAAGATGTGCTAGAAATATTGTGATGTCATCCCAGCTTAAAGATTACTAATGCAATATATGTCTTCAGACATTTAATGTTCACTTCCAGCTGTGTGAGACATTCTACCTAAAAATAATAGAGCTGACAAAGAATGCTAAGAGAACTGACTTACCACTTGTACCATTTTGAGATATCTGGCATATCTTGGATCTTTGGCCACAGTTGAGACGTTTTCTGTTACTACCTCTGTTTTCTGTAACCCTTCTTCATGTGCATTGTTCTGCTGTACACAAAGAAGATCATACTTTAATAAAGGCAGACCAAAGGCACAGTCAGATTTCAATCCATAAAATTTGTAATCTTAGCATAAAAGCTGTGTGGAGAAGTGACACGCTAGAGGGAAGTGGGCTATTCAGCCTTCTTTCAAGGCTCCAAGGAGACCTTATAGCAGCCTTCCAGGACCTGAAGGGGCTACAGGAAAGCTGGGGAGGGATTTTTCACCAAAGAGAGCAGTGATAGGACAAGAGGTAATAGTTTTAAACTGGATAAAGGGAGATTTAGGTTAGACATCAGGAAGAAATTCTTCACCATGAGGGTAGTAAGGTGCTGGAAGAGGCTGACCAGGGAGGTTGTGGAAGCTCCCTCCCTGGAAGTGTTTAAGGCCAGGCTGGATGAAGCTTTGTTCAGCCTGGTCTTGTGTGAGGTGTCCTTGTTCATGGCAGGGAGGTTGGAACTTGATGATCTCTAAGGTCCCTTCCAACCTTAGCCATTCTATGAACAAGACTATTTTGATCTGCAGTTACAGTATGAGAGATTTCCAAGATGTATGAATATACAAAAACCAGCTCTTCCATGATTGACTGTTACAAGTGTGACTTTGTACTTTTAGTAATAATTTTAATTTATTGCACAATATGTGAAAAATCTCCAAACCAATAATAATCTGTTATGGTCGTTGTATTTAATGAATAAAACTGAACTAAGTTTAAATACTCACTTCATTAAAAAAAATTTTAAGGGATTATAGTTATTTACCTCCCCTAGTGGTCCTATCCTTTTCCTCAAAATATTTGATTCCCTTACAAATGTTTAATACAGATCAGATCACCTTTAAACTCTACTTTTTAGTATAAAACATTAACCTAAAGGATAACATAATAAAATCAAAGAACCTCTGATAGTAAATTAATTTTAAAAAAATTTAAAATTACAAAAAGCTATATGGCTATTAAAAGGACAAAACCAAAACTGTGTATTTGCTATTAAACTAACCACTTGAAAGTAGCTTTGGAAACCTCCTTTCAGAAATATCTGTCCCTGCTGTAATATCAGACAGAAGAACATTTTACAGAAAACGAGTCACTCTCTAACATCACTAAAAAACATAATTCTAACTGTTCATTCTGTTTCCCATGTTGCTGGCTGCAAATCACAGTTACAATCTTTTACAGGCAGGTAAAGGCAGCAGAGTACTCCAGCTATTGCTGCTCCTAAGCAATTTCCACCAAATAAGAGAGGGAGCAGAGACTGAATTTGGAGATTCCAAGAAAAGAAATTATAACAGGAAACTGCAGGTAGAGCTCCATCTACAAATAAGCCAGAAAGCCTCACTTTATGAAGTGGTAATCACAGGATTTAGATCTGAGTTCAAAAAGAAATCAAACACTCAACACATACATAAAAACCCAAACAAAACAACAAAAAACCTAATTGCAGGGATAGGATCTTAAAGTTCATCACTTAGAATAAGCTGGCATTTTCTGTACATAGATTATAATATATAGAAAACATTCACTATAACCTCTTCAAAATAAAGTATCCTAGAAACTCCATTTGAAGCCAAAAGCTCACATTCTAAAGGAAGAAGAGCTGGAATTATGTGATTCAAACTGTTATTTTCATTAATGACCTTCCCAGTCCCTTGATGTAATTCACATTCATATTTTCGTGGGATTGAAGAAGAGGAAGGAGGCATTAGATCTGAGTTAGCTCTAATTATTTAAGGCACATATACAAGAAAGGGTATATCCTTTTTGTTTTAAGCCCCTTGTTAAAACAGCTTCATTACTAAAAACCATAGTTTTTGATCTTTACATTTGACTGCTCTCTTTCAATCGACTTGCTTCTTCCATCTACTTCAAACGAGACTAGGAACTTCATGTGGAGAGGTCTATTCCTGCAATGTATTAGTTATGCTTCATTACTTACTCCAGGTTGAGGTGATACAGCTGTCTGTTGATCTGTAGTAACTTGTGCCACAAGACTGTTTGTAACACTATTCGTATTTTCACTGGACACTTGACATTTGACATCTTCTAGGCCAGGAATAGAGGATAACTGAATGTACAAAACAGCATCAAATAAGCAACGAGCATATCACAAGCCCATGTGTACAATAAAATCTGCCATATGCTGCTTAGCACATACTCCCCAGGTAGGTTTCATGTTAGTAAAATAGTAACTTTTCATCAGTAGTTTTGGTATTTTGATTGGCAAAAGAAAAAAAAAAAATCTATTCAGGCAATTTCTACAACAAAACCCTCAAAACACTCCTTTGGAGCTTTCACTGTGAAGACAGGGTTGCAGTGCAGGGAAAGATTCCCCAGCATTTACCAGCTACAAGAGAGCCATGCTTTCTTCTCTGCTACCTCCTCCAAATTGAAAGAAATCATGACAAGAACAGCTCTGTTACCCAACAGATGGGTGACTGATTAGAGATTTTGCAGTTTTCTACATCCTTCACTCTTTTTTAAGGAAATGCTGCAAGTGGATATCAAACACGCCACATATTTATTTAAAGGAAATTCTATTTAACATGATTATGAAGAATTCTGCAAAAATTATCAATACTGACCATTCCTAATTATTTTGAAATACATAAGAGTTAGTAAACACTGTTTGTACAACTATAGTATCTTTTTTCACTGAAATCTTAATGAACCATTTCAAAATGTCCTACCCCTGCTCCCAGAAAAGCCAACCAAAATTGCTTCCATCATTATTGAAATGATGGGTTAAAACTGCACAGTGGGTGTTTTTTTTGGTTTTGGGGTTTGGTTTGTTGTTGTTTTTTTTTTAATTTTAGCAAATTCAATAATACATAACTAAATTATATCATTTTCTCATTCCAGCTAAAGAAGATCCATCAGCCACATTTCTGTTAACTTCCGTCCAATTCCAGTTACATTTCAGTATCAAAATGTTTACAAGGTATCCATCTAGTTGAAATCTTTAACAGTCTAGTAACAATTACAAAGATCCTTCTGCTTTACCAAGGGGACAGAAATTTATTTAACTAGACTTTGCCTGTCAAATGCCATTTCATAGTGCAACTCTGCAAGACAAGCTGCATAGTGTAATATTAGAAAAAATCATTTTCTTACTATCAAACACTGCAATAAAATCACTACAAGTAAACTGCCACGTAGTTCAGTTGCCCTTTCAAGATCCAAGTGCTCCTTCCCTGTTCAACATGCTTAACAGAGACAAACCCAACATTTCCACTACATGCTGTTGGTTCCTTCCTGTCATATCCAATACATGTTTAAAAGTTCTACAAGGGCCAAGGCATGCAAACAGAGCATTTGCCACATAAGCATTTTGCATTAGCTCCTTCAAATCATCATGAAAACCTCATTTGCTCAACTCAGCCTACGAAAAGGAATCCAGTTCATACAATCTAGGAGGCTGTCATGATTAGAAGACAAACCCTGTGCACATACAAACCTTTGCATCCAAAATATTGAGTGTCGTTTCAATTTGCTGGATACGGAGAGACAATGCTGACAATTTCTAGAAGAGAAAACAATTAGCATGTGAAAACACCTTCCGAGGTCACTTGTACATATAAAACAGTTCACATCTAGCTAAACAAAATCACTTTTGTCTTCCACTTGAAGGCAGAGTTGAACGTAAATGAGATTATAACATTAAATAAATGAAGCAATAACATCCCTTTTTAGTACAGTAGATACAGTGGTTCAAATTTTAAATAATTTTACTAGGCTGTTTTCCTAAATAATGACTGACAGAAATGAAGACAGACTATACACAAGTCAAAGTACACAGGGTATTTCTTTGGGCAACTGGAGAATAATGTGACACATACTGTATTCTCACAGTTACCAAAATACCTTCCTTTAAAGCTTTTTCCAAATGTGGAAGATGACAAGAAGTGAAGTGTGTGCATGTGAGAGAGCAGTAGAATAATTAGAAAAATCTGCTAAAGAATACAGCAGGTGATTAAAAGTTCTTTATAGTCAAATAAAGTGAATCAGAACTAACTAGAAGATTTATATGCTCCAAGTGCACCTCAACTCAATTTTTACACTTTTTTTTTTTTTTAAATTACAACTGAAGTTTTTCTAAATTACTCTATAGGAACTGTCACTCTTTTAACTAATCACTACCATACTCCACCAGACCTGTCCAAGTGAAGTTGGCTAGCACACTGGCTGGCAGATATGTACCACTCTGACAGCTTTCTGGCACACTGGCAAGATTCTGACTGGCTCTGAAATAGAACTTCAACACTCTAAGAAAAAGGCAGTTCTGCCAATATGCTAGAAAAAGTAAAAAGGGGCTGACAGAAGTTAATATTTTTGGACAGCGCACTGACTTGTTTACAGATGGTTCTTTGTTCACAAAAAGGAGTTAGTTCCTATTGAACTATATGTGCCCTACATGTAGCTGGGGAAAGCAAAGGGAAGATGTACATGACTTTACGGCTCAGTTTGACTAGACAAGAGCCAAGAAATGTAGAGTTAAGGATGGTGTCAGCCCTAATTTTGAATTTCTTGGCTTCTGTTGATTTACACCGGGACCTTTCACATTAAGAACACTTTGGTACTTCATAAAAACAAAAAATGCTTCCAGAAGTTTATAAAGCAACTATTTAGTCTCTTGAGTAACAATGCACTTAGGTGAACTAATGACTGTTTTATTAAGTAGACTTCATGGCAGGCATTGCTGCGTGCTCAAGATGGCTTTCAGTGCATGTGCTCTGATTTCCATAGGGCCTATGTAAGAGGAAATACTGAGATCATGAGACAACTGGGTTTTGGACAACTGACAACAGCATCACCAGGCAATTACACTGCCCCATGTACCAAATCACAGTATGTTTACAATTCTAAAAACAATTACTTTTTTTCTCCGAGGCTCCATACACTGATGTGGTAGCCATACTTTTTACTAGTCATGAGTCTGGCTCTAAACTTTACTAACAAATAACAACATTTCTCAGACTACATGGCTTACTCTAATTGGATTTAAGTGCAGCCCTCACCCTGCTGGCTAAAGATGCACAGTAGTCTTCATTGAATAAACTAGGGAACAGTTGCAAAATAACCACTAATGACAAAAAGGTTAAGCTCAAAATCATATTAGAAAATTTGCTTTCTACAAGGAAGGAAGCACTCTTGTCCTGGTCAGTGGACAATTCTACTCTTCTCACTCTGGTATATTTTCACCTACACTAAATTCACAACAAAAACATATTAACACTAAATATTTTTCAATTCTAGTCATTTGCCAAAAACATCTTCTTTTCCTGCATCAAAATTATTTACACTAAGAGCTTAGTGTATCCCCCTTTTAAATTAGAGGTGGTAAAAGCTGGAATTAAGTTTTGATACATACAACATGCCAGGACACACTTGAGAGGCATACTGACTGTCAAAATGGATTCTGTACCATAGGAATATGACATCCTTCTTCCAGAACAAAACAATACCCACAGATACAGCTGCTCAGAACAGATTCCATGCATAAAAAGTTCCAAGACTGTGCCAAATGCAAAAGTTAAAGGAAACAGGATTAAGCATGATATAATTACTAGTTTGTGTGGATATCTTGGCAGAAAAAAATCCACCTGTCTTAAGCACTTACTCAAGAGAAACCTTGCATATAAAGCAGACTAGTTGTTTTGTTTAAGTTACCAGTATTACTGAATCAAAAATATTTAACAGAATGGTTCTCACTTCTAGATTTTTTTAAATTGTGTACATTGACAGATGGGAAAATAATAAACATACCTCTTCACAGACAGTAGAAAAGCGGTTGAGAAACTGCACTGTGTGAACCACAAACTGGTTTAGAAATGCTACTGTTCTTTTCTGTTGAATGGCAGGAACCTGCATTAAATACAAGAAAATGAGATTATAGATAGATGCTTTAGATCCAAATGTGTCAATGCTCACATTTGGATCCAAAGACCTGTTAAAAAAACAAATATGCTTTAGAAGAAATTATTTTAGAAACCCTTCCTAAGTTTGCTTGCTATAAATGCATATAATATACACACATATATACATACAGATATATACACACCCTTTTTCACTAAAAATCTACTACCATCACAGTTGAAAAGTTGCGGGATACACAAAAAAGGCAACAAGATCCACATAAATGAATGATCATAAATGATCCACATTTTCGTACATATCTCATGTATGAAAAAACTCTTAGAAGAAATTGTGAATATTCCTGAAAATCAGTGTTAAAATTCTTAGAAACCAGAGAGGAAATTGGAAGGTTTCCTTCTGAAGTTTAAGAAGGAAAAGCAAACTCGGTCATCCATACAAATATGCAGTTACAACCAACACCATAATAAAAAATAGACAGTAATGAAATTGCTGTCTTAGTCTCTAGTAGCTACCTGTACATTTTCTTCTTTGCAAGCTCAGACTATCCTAAAACTACACTTTCATGTCACTCCTCCAAGTCAGGTCCTAAGGACACATACTTTTCAGACTAAAAGGTAAAACGTTTGTCAAAGAGAAGCCTGGTGATTGTAACCTAAAAGACAGTTGACATTTTTAAAAAAATTGTTACACAAGACTGGAACCAGCAACATCCACACAAATGTTACGTGTAAAATTATACTGCCTTGGGGTTAACTTCCTTGGAAAACTACCGAAGTCTTATATTTCACCACAGGAAATCACTCCATGGAATCGTAATTGGTTGAAGTGAGGGATTTGCAAGGAAAAATATTTGCAGCCAAGCTTCAGCTGCACTGAACAACGGTTTGTGAACACAGTGACTCTGGTCTTCACTTCTCCTTCCGTCTCCCGTTTGCCAGCGCAGCTGCTCACTGCGCTCTGCCCCCCTTCAGACACCTGGTGTTTTGTGAGGCTCCTGTTGCTGCCATCTCAAGTCTTCAGCCTGTGCACCTGCATGGCAGGGTCTGCTCAAGCCCAGTGCTGAACTGGGCCATCCTAGTGGAGATTTACGGGGCTGCACCGAGGACAGAAGGATCACTGGGGCAACTGAACCTGTCCTATCTTGATGCTCTATATTTAAGAAATAAAGCTTAAAAAAATGGATTTGCATGAGTAAAAGGCATGACCAAGCAGCTCTGCACGTGATTTCCCTCACAGTTCCACGACTGAAAAGGCCTAGCCTTTCAACAGGACGCTCTGGCGGAACTCGTGGCAAAACGCCTTTGGGTGAGATTAATTAATTCGGCGCTCCTGGAGCCACAGCCAAGGCGGGGCGAGGCGGGG